ACTGCATACAATACCCTGGGTATTAATCATTCCACCAGAAAAATTATTTAAGGAAAAAAAGAAAAATACTATTAAAAAAATCAGGAAGAATACTATTCAAGGGGGGGTATTGTATGCAGTGGTTTACGGTAATATCAAATTAATAAAAATATATTGTATATAATAAAAGATTTAAATAAAAAAATTTATAAATAAAAATATTAAAAGTATAAACAAAAATAAATCTGATATTAAAAATATAATAAATAATATAGTAGTAATTAATAATTTGTTAAAATAAAAAAAATGATTTTTTTTATTAAATATTTTTATTAATAATAAATTTCAAAATTATATTATAATTGATTTGTGAATAATATATCCAGGTTTTTTTTTTTTTTTTTAAGGAGCAAAAGGTTATTACATTTTATTTTATTATTATAATTTTAGATTTGCAAGTATAAGATTTATAACATATTTACAGTATAATATATATCTTTCTTTGCTAGAAAGGGTTAAATACAAGGCTTCGCAAATGCAATCTATCTTCTGTACTTCTTGGCACCATTTAAGAATATGGAAAAAAGAAGCTCCAAACCTATATTATATCTTAAATGGTGTCTAGCTATTTAGAGAAAACTGATTATTCAATTACATGAAAGTGTTGCAACTATTATATACAGGTTTACCTTCAAGTCATAATTAAGGTTGGTATACTTGCTTTCCAAATGTGATTTGATATATAACAAGTGAAGTAAGTGTTGGTTTCATACTATATTAAACTCAAATTACACCAAAGTAAAACCAGTCTTTTATCATTTGTATCTAGTATTAACCTTCTATTTGAATTTATTACTAGAACTAAAGGCTAAAGGGCAACAACTGTTTTTATCACCAAACCCATTCTAATGCAAAATTAATCTTTTACTAACTGCATCTAATATTAATTCCTATTTGAATTTAAGGTAAGTTGAAATCAGAGAGTGTAATGAGAGTTTGGATATAAGGTAATAATTTGTTAGGGAAGATATTGGATATATTGAAATTGTTATTTCTTAAAGGTGTTGATACCTAACCTTGTACAATAAATCTACATTGTCAGAGAGATAAGCAAAAAGCTTTTGTTGTCATCACCAGCTTGTGTTGTAGGGATAATTAGAATTCCTGGTCTTCATGTATTATCCTACTAGATTTTTCCAATCACCAACATAATACTTGCAAACTAATCTAGCTCATTGTTAGTTGCATTGATATTGGCTGCCATATCTCTTTGAATACAATGAGACACAACTCCTTGGATACTTTTAGATAATAATAGTTATACACCAGTTTTTTAAATATATCTAATTTAACCATCAACAAGTAAACAATGCCAGATTTGGTAATGATGACCATGTTTATCTTTTGAAGAGAGTAAGCCATTTGTTTTTTTTCTGTAAGGTCATGGAAGAGAGAAATATTCCGAAGCCCATGTCTTGAGAAAAGTTATCACTTCTGAATATGGTCTTAAGAAAAAGGAGTTAACTGACCAGGGGATTGATATTATGGAGAGCAGGTTTATAAAAGAAAGAAAGGCCTAGAAAAAAAATCTTTAGGAAAAAAGAAAAACCTAACTTTGACAGAAAAGGGAAAAAGGAAAGAGGAAGTGGTGAAGTATATAAAATAGTATATAGAAAGAAATGTGAAAATAGAAAAGAGAGAATAAAAAAGTATAGGAAAGGGAAATAAAGAAGAAGTAAAAAGGAAAAGTGAGAAAAAAAAGTAAACTCAAAAATTTTCCTAAAAAAAAAATTTTCAAGTACAGAAGAGAGAGTGGAAAAGAGTTTTTTTTTAATATATCCAGGTTTTTAAATATATGTTTCTAGTTCAATATTTATAAAAGACAAAATTATATCATTCTTTATATATGGATTTACTGAATATTCTACATATATTATATTCAATAATCCTTAATCAATCAAATTTAATTAGGCTGTATAAGATGAAATCTCTGATTTTTTTGTCAATAACAGGCTAAAAACAGGTCAAAACAAAAAAAGTTGTATTAAAAAAGACTTCTGGTATACAAACTCTTATTACAAGTTCATATTCCTTCTGGCATATCAGACTTTGTAGCACAAAGAATATTCTAGCCTGAGACTATCAGCAATAAAAAAGAGTGATTTACCTTCTTTGAAAAATAGTAATTGTACCTTTCCCATAATGGATACAGTTAAGATAGGATCTAGATTAAGTTAGATGGTTTAAAACTAATTATAGGATTTCCATCTTCTAAAGATTCCACCTAGTGTGTGGGCCTATCTTCATGGGTGGTAAACCAGTATACAGGGAGATTAACTTAAATGGACCTAGAATGTATGTGTATTGAATATACATGTAAATAACTCAATAAATAAACATGTGCATTAGCACCTTTCACCCGAAAAATTACATCAAAATTATTTTATTATTTAGAAAACCTTCGCGATTTTTTATTAAACTAGGAAAACGGAAACCGTTGTATGTCCGGAGCATAATATAGAACATAGTTTATTTACTATAACTCATACCTTTTAATTATACAGTTTATTTATTTGGTTGTATCGCGTATTACGTAATGACCGGGACAACCAACCGTATAGTCCTTGATGATTTTATAAATATTTTCCCAGGACTGTAGTTGAAAAAAATCTTAGATGTCTCCCTCTCTCTTTTATAGCAACATTCATTTCATTTCCTTCTGCCCTGTATATTCACATATACAGTGTATATATTTTTTCTCGTAATGAACGAAATAGACGCCAAAATTTTATTGAAAAAGGTGAGCATTCAAATATTTCACCTTTTCTTGCCCCGAAAAGAAATATATTAAACCATATAATTACAGTTTGAAGGTTATGAAGATGCTTTGGATCCCAATAGCCTCAGCCTTCTTTCCATCTTAAAATTTCGTAGAACAAAAGACGGCTTCTCCTTTGACAAGCATTATGAACATTTTACGATATCCAGGTTCATGTTGTATGTCGCAAAAATCACAACAGACGAAAAGTGGAAGAAAGCGACTTCCGTTCTCAGCGAGGGAACGCTAAAGGCAAGTCTATCTTTATATTTAAGCCTGTTATTAGTAAATATAGAGATAGGGAGGGAGTTGGGCTACGTGTCGAAACAACCACCTAAGTGGCTTGGCTACGCGTCAGGCTGGGAATGGGTTAATATATCCGGTGGGCTCCTCCTAAGTCTGTGTGAAGGCCAAAGGCTAATACGTCTTAGCGCCAAGAGCTACGTGTTCATTCGCAGTCTCTAATGGCTTATTTTTTAACTTTTTCTACCTTCATATTTTGACATAATGATTTTAACCATTCCTCTCATTCTCCGATTCCTCGGTAGATTCAAGCACAAAGTAAAGAAGTAAAATTGTTTTGGACAAGTGTTGAAACGGAAAAAGTCGAATCAAAGAATAAATTGTTGGAGCTGAGAATAAAGCAAGCTGAAGTCTGTGCCTAGCATTGTATATTAAGAAATTATCAATTTGTGCAAATGCAATATATTAACTTTATGTTTTTCACGGTTTGCAGATTCAGTTTTTTGTTGATCGTACTCTGGCGGGAAATGCGGCTCATAGAATCTTCGACCAGAAAAAAATAGATTATGCCTTGAACCTAAATAAGAATAGTATCGGAAAGCACTCATACGATAAAGGTATGGAAGATGCATGTTCATACAAATATCGACGTGGTGGAGAAGATGATGAACCATTACGAACCCCAGAAGAAAAGGTAGTTGTATTTTCCACAGCTTTAGTATGTTAGCCTGCAATAAATTTTCCTCTTGCCTCTCGCATGTACACAGATAAGAACCGTTACATACAGAGAAAAAGAGTCATCCACCTCGACCATGTCCTACATCCCAGCCATTCCAGTAGAGTCTTCCATTTCAACCGATCTGGTAATCGATACAAGGGACGAAGGAATATTTAATATGATGTTACGTGAAACATATCTAAAGATACGACAAGATATCCGCAGTTGCCTTTCACTGAGAGATGTAAGTTAATCGATCTGATTCTGCATTTGTTTTGGAATAATATTGACTATTGTATTCATCTTACTGTTTAGTGGAATATTGAAGATTATAATGTCTCAAGATCTTTTCGCGATTATCAGGTCGCAAATATAGACAAATTGGAGGATGATGGGATTTATTTCTTCTCGTCAAATATTGAAGAAATCTTGTAAGCTAGCTCGATAATAAATCTAATCCGGAAGTCACCCAAAGACGCGATTATCTAATGAAACCTTTGTATATTACAGATCTCTTCACTATATAATGATGATTGATTTAACCATAATGAAAAGGCCGACATATGTAACTGTGGACGAGCGGCGTTGGCGTGCTTCAATCCGTCAACCAGTCCAACTTGATCCGGCGAGTTTCTTTGGAGATATCATGAACGAATACGAAAAAGTAAGAGTGTTGTACTGCTAGTGCATAAATTGATGATTATCTCGATATAACAATAAAAAATAGGTTATAAACGACATCGATGAGCTTCGTTTGAAATTTTTCGAAATATGGGGCAAGTACTGTGATAAAGTGATTTATTCGGACGAAGAAAGACGTCTTTTTGAGACGACTCAAATTGTGGCACGCGGATTGTAATTATTTTATTTTACTTTTTTGTTGTTTCTTAATTGGATTTTTGTCTAACTTTCTTTTCCTCCGAGTTATGAGAGGATGCATATGTACCCGGATTCAGGTAAAGATGAAAACGAAGATACCGTTATGCACGAATACATACACGATACTTTCAAGGAAACCTTCTGGGATTCTAAATATGTTACAGTATGGTATGTTCTTTGTATATTTATGATCATTCAATATTCCCACTCTTATTTCTTTTAATTTTCTTTTTTCTAATAAAGGGCGAATTCCGAAAGTTTATCATCAAAGGATTATCGCTCCACTCATGGTCGTTCACAAGAAAAAATCGATATAACTATATATAGAATTATAGAAAAAGGAAAATGTGAGGAATCGTGTTTCGTTGAAGCAAGACCTTTCTCAATCACAAGAACAAGTAAAATTGAGGGATATAACCTTTACAAAGTGGCCGTCTTTTGCCAAGGTGCCATAAACAACATATTATTACGTGAAAATGTACCACGAGTACAGACTTTTGGAGGGCATATATATGGTAAGTTTTTTTTTCGCATTTTGGTGAATTCATATTTTAATACACTTTTTCATAAAAATATTATAGAAGGGTACATATATTTCTGCATGATGGACCTGGAATACGATGGCATCTATCGTTTCTTTCAACTATCCGAAGTCAAGATTGCCCGAAGGCTTTCAGAATTTAATTTTGTGCGGAAATTAATATTGGAAACGTATTTTTTTAAGGTAAAGCCTTCTTAAAAGTTATTTCATTTTCCACGATTTATCTCCTTACCTACTTTTTTATTCCTATTCAGCGTCGTATCGATAATTATTACTCTAATCGATATAATCACAATAGAACTCTTTGTTCGAGTAGGTTTGTCCGTAATCCAACTGTAACACCTAAGGCGCCTAAAAATGCAATCCCGGACTTTATTCTGAAGAAACAGAAACCAACAAAAAAAAGAAAAAACATTTGATTTTTTCTCGAATTTAATTTTTCTATTTTCTGATAGTTAATTTTTCTCAAAGTAATTTCCATTACCATGGCTATAAAAAAAGAAAATCATTGTCATTGATATACAAGCAAATTTTAATAAAGTTTATCATCGTCAGGGTTATTGACTAAATACATAATTTATTCTTTACGAAATGATGAGTGTTCTTTTTCGGAATGCGCACGCATTTTTTTTTGACATGTAACATGAAATTTTTTACTGACTCAATATAAGGCCTACTCATCTAATTTTAACGGTACTAAAATCGAAGATCACAAGATTTCGATCCCACAAATGTTTGTCAATAATATTAGATGGATCATACGCACAGTTCTGCATGTCTTCTTGAGACCCACCTCCTCAGAACATAACTAGATGCGAGATATTTTCGCGAATTATCTTTAATACAGCTTGGAATACATATATTGGTAAATATTTTGATGCCGATCACTAATGAAATAGAGAATAATTCGAATGATCAATGATCTATTGCAGCACTCCAAAACGAGATTAACCAATACTATGAAATTGTCCAAATAATTGAACATATCGGGAAAGCAGGTAAATTCAAAGCTTCCAATTCGAGCTAACGATCATTTTATGATAACTTCAGAAATGTGGAAAGAATTTAAATTCTTTTGATAGAATCATAGCCGAAAGAATATATTTTTTTGTCGTACTGATTGAAAAAATATTATCATAGAATCAATGATTTAAAAAGTAGTGACTTGGATAAAATCGGTTTGTGGATCGATAGAAATGAGTAGTGAGATGGAACCGCCAATTCGCTTTTTGCGAGGGGTCAAGGGACCTATTTTTAAATGGGTAATTATTTTTGAAGGCGACAAAAATGCTAGATATGATTTTATCGGACCCAACTTTTAAACAATACATATATAATATAAATTTTAGGATCACGCCAGAAAATTTCTGGTCCGCCTTCGAAAATAATTGCCCAAATACATGCATAAACAATTCTTTATCAGAGACAGAGACATAGTCGATAGTCGGATAAATGAAATACATTGTATCGAAAGTGTTTTTCATGTGATGTAATGTCCGATATATACAGGGTGCAATGTTTGAGAGGTAGAGCCTCGAAGCCTCGCTTTTCATGCGTTACTTATCGGGCATGTAATTCACCGAGTTACACATCCCGAAATAGATCTTACATATCCAATATAGTAAGCGATAACGCTTTGCGAAAAAAAAGCAGAGCGGGCTCGGAAAGTGTCTCCTTTTGATGTTATTAGCAAGGATAAAATAGTTGGAATCAGATCTTTTACCCCGTCTACTATTCTCAAGTTAAGAAAATATCGATCGTGTAATACTTCACTTTGCACATCTCATTAGTTGTGTAGCCATGTTCTGGATGTCACACTCTTAGTAAAATAGCATCCGTTATACTTGGCGCATTAATATTAAAGTTAATACTTACTGTATGTTAGAAAATTCGTCCATTATTCTCCGATTGCGTAACACAGATATTCGATCCTCCGTGAAACAATCAAATCATTACACAGGCGAGCGGAGCTTCCCTCTCATATCATCGAATATAATGTTTATGCAATTAATAATACTCATGAAGCGAGAAACAAAAATCAATTTTTGTTACCGGTATACATGTATAAGTCGCAAAACCTAAATGCATAAGCAATCTTTATTATAATCGATTAGACTATTGAAATGGTCAATTTATATAATTTACACAACCAAAGAATGAGCTGAATATTGCAGGAGAATATAAACAATAAATTTGGCACTGTTTAACATATTTCAAAGGAAATAGTCTTTTATTTATTGTAAGTAAAAAATATTTTGATGCAAGAAAGTTGATATGTTTTCAAAATAGTACATTATATGCTTCTATAATAGAAATTTCCATCTATTTATCTTGCAATGAATCAATATATACTGGATAGAGCTCCGAATGAGCTGAGTCAAATCAAACTTTGCTTAAGCTTGAGTTTGACTTGCAATTAAAATAAAAAACCTGACTTGATCAAGTTTGGCTAAATTATGATCCAGGCTTGATTCATATCATATGCATTGATTTTATTAATTTTTGGTTTTATTTATTTTTTGAGGGGGTAGGCATTTAACTTTATTAAAATAATAAATTGAGATACAAAGTTGTATACATGCAAAATATTATAAGAAAGGTCAGTGCCTTTTTTAAATTATAAAGTAAACTCATTAGGATTGCTCCTTTATGTGTCTTGTTGCCTATTCTGTAAATAAACAAAACATTAGAATTTTCTTGAAATAGCTAATCCACCAAGACACTATCAATACCCTTGGAATAAAGACTAGTTGTAAAAATTAATTCTATGTCAGATAAATATTTTATATAATTAGTTACTGTATATATTTGTTGACAATGTGTAAGTATCTATCCTTGATTTCTTGATCTATAATTATTATTGTTTTGGATTTTTGTTTTGATTTCCATAATCTTTTTTGTATTATTATAATTTATTGTGGTTTTTTCCATTGAAAGAACTTTTCATATCTTGTTTTTCATACTTTTTATAAGTTTTTTTTAAATCTGTTATATAGTGTTTTATCATTATTATTCTTACATCACTAATTTTTTCTATATTATATAATTTACAATTTTCAGCAAATAATTTTTTTAACAAATTTAACAAACTAATTATATATCTTATACAGTGGTCTATTATTATTTTGTGTATACCAATAAACAGAATTTGATGAAATAATAGAATTAAGTTAATTCAAATTATTAAAATTTTAATAAATATTTTTTTAAATAAGCTCATAAGTATAATTAATAAAGTTTTTTTGATATTGTAGTTTTATTGGAATTTTTTACTTATTGAAAAAATATTATATATTTTTTGTTTTTTAAGAATGATTTTTTATATAGTATTTAATTAAAAGGTTTATATTATAATTTGTTTTTTTAATTATTAAATATATAAAAACTATTTAAGAAAATAAATTTTTTTAAATAAAGTAATAATTACTTTTAAAATATATGATAGTTTATAAAAATAACCAATCACTTGAATAAATATAATTAATTATAATATTTTTTAATAAATAGTTTATAAAAAATTTTTAAAAAAATAAATTCAAATATTAAATTTAAAAATATTTTAAAAAACAAATAAATTTATTAGATATAATATTAAAATTAATATTTTTTTTAATATTGAATTATTTCATTATAAATCATTTCAAAGA